AGACCCCTGGCATTGACTTTGATATTGAGGAATTCTTTTCAGCCTCAAATATCCAGACTCAGACTGAAGAGAGTGGGCTGAGTACCATGAACCCTGAGCCAGTCTTGGAGTCACTGGACATAGAGACCCAGACTGACTTCCTGCTCGCAGACCCCTCTGCTCAGCCCTACAGCTGCAGGGGAAGTTCGAACTTCTTAGGCCTGGAGATGTTTGACACACAGACACAGACCGACTTGAACTTCTTCTTAGACAGTGGTCCTCAGCTGCCCCTAGGAAGCCTTCTGAAACACTGCAGCTTCTCTGTGAGCACCGACTCCTCTGACACAGAGACCCAAACGGAAGGACCCTCTGTAGCCAGACCCACGCCGGCTCCAGAGAGCAAGGTTCAGTCGAACACTGCAGAGACACAGACCATGAGTTCTGGCTTGGAAGCCCTGGGGAGTTTGTTCTTCACCAGCAATGAAACTCAGACAGCCATGAACGACTTTCTCATGGCTGATTTGGCCTGGAACACCATGGAGTCTCAGTTCAGCTCTGTAGAAACCCAGACATGTGCTGAGCTGAGTGCAGTCTCCAACTTCTGAGCACGAGTCCATCCTGGACAGCACTGACGACTTCATGCAGACTGTGAACACAGACGATGATGATGCTGACTATGGAATGTAGTGACTGCAGCTATTTATTCTCCTCTCTCTGCCTTTTGTACTTGTCAACACAAAATCTGTGTATAAATGTGAGTGTATTATAAAGTGTAAGATGTTGATTTAAAAATGACTGTTTTTGCTTTACCTACATTTGCTCTTTCACAGCTTGTCTTTCCATCTTTCAAAAAAAAATGTGTATTTCAGAGCTGGATTTTAAAACCCATACAGCCATCTAGCTGAAGCTAGGCTTGCGAGGTACTGGGGTATAAACCCAAACCTTCCTAATGCACCTGTAAACGGCCACTATGCCCTCACCAGTGCTTCTGTGTTTGGAGACTGCCACTGCCACAGCTTCATCAGCTCTGCCAGCTCTTCTGGCTTGCATACACCAAGAAAAAACGCAGTTGTCTTGAACTTCTGCAAGTTTTCATAGGGTCACTGTCCCTTCTCCATGAGTAGTTCTGCCAGGGCGAGTGTGGTCTGTCCTCACAGGTTCACTGCTGCAGGTACTGTGTAGCACAAGAGCAGCAGCACTTAGTATAGATAGCCATCCTCCTGGCAAGAGTAAGGCATCCAAACCACAGGAACTGACTGAAATCATGGCTCTTGGTTTATCTTGGGGGTATCCTGGGATGTGCTTCTTTTTTATTTAGAGGTGGGGGGGGTCGGTTTGGGTGCTTGAACTCTGGGCCTGGGCACTGTCCCTCAGCTCTTCAGTTCAAGGCAAATGCTCTACCACTTAAGCCACAGCACCACTTCTGGTTTTCTGGTGGTTAATTGGAGATGAGAGTCTCATGGACTAGTGTTGAACTGTGATTCTCAGATCTCAGCCTCCTGAGTAGCTAGGATTACGGGCGCGAGCCACTTTTAAAACATTTTCCTCTGCTCACCACCTTGGATGGAGACGACTTTGGTGACCAGCTGTGAGGTTTTTTCCTGCAGGGCAGCCAGCAGCCAGGTCTGCAGCAGACACTGGCTAAGTGTCTCGTGATGCAGTTCATGTGCTTGAGCAGCTCTCAGAACTCAGGAAAATAGTGTTATTGCCAAGAGTACTGCTGAGGTGCTCAGGGCAAGGTGTGGGGAAGGGAAACTGGCCTCCACTTCCTCTCCTGGCATGCCTCCTTCCAGGAACCTCCACATACATGGCCACTATCTAGAAGTGCTCCAGAGACAGTCCTTTTGGATTTGTATGGGAGCTTCCATTACATGAGATTGATTCACTTAACCTTCAGTCCTTCCCTCCTTGGATGGCCTTGGTCTCCCCCATTCCATTTCCCATCCAGGAGCTACCAGCCACCAGCCAGCCAGCAATCCCAGTGGCACGCAAACACAATAGACAGAAAACATTGTAGAGGTGACAGGGCAGGAGCCCCACTGTGCTGTACAATATGTCCTCCCTGCTGTCCAGACAGCTGGCTGGGTGAGGCCCTGGGGCTGCTTCCCACAGTGCTCACTGTTCCTCTTGTGTTGAAAAGAACAAAGAGTAGAAAAGGACACCCCTGGCCCAGCCCAATCTCAGTACTTAGCACCCCTAAGCTTGGCAGGGCAAGAATACAGTCCACTCTGTTTTGCAGGGACCTTTCCTCTCATCCTCCGTTCACCTTTCCCTTGAATAAGGAAACACTTTGGTCTAGTATTTTGCCTTGAGACTGACAATTACACAACAGATCCATCTCCAATGCAGTACTGTGAAGATGTTGAAAACCTAGTGTTTTGGTATTCAAGGACTACTTTTCTGTTTAAGGTAAAATGGCGGGGAGCTGGGAAGGTGACTCAGTGGTAGAGTGCTAGCCTTGAGCTGAAGAGCCGAGGGACAGTGCCCAGGCCCAGAGTTCAGGACCCATGACCGACCAAAAAAAAAAAAGGTAAAATGGTGGAGCAAAAGGTGTGCTAAGCAGACTGAATTCATGGTTGTTGCCCAACTTCCAGGCCAGTAAGAATGAGTGCAGTTTTGAGTTTTCTGTCTACTCCAAATTCTCTATTCTTCCTATGGCTAAGTCCCCAAAATGAAATGTAAAAAGAAATTAATGATTTGTTAAAGCAAATGGATGCGGTTGCTATTAGCAATCCCATCTACCTAGTGCACAGGATGTAATAATGGCTTAATAACATGGCCATGTCCCACCAGACAAACTAAACCTTGGCTTTGGTTGCACTTACCTCTGAATGTGAGTTCCAGAACAAACATAAAGCCTTAACTTAGATTTTCATGTTTTAGAATCATCACAGCCTTAATGTTTAAACCTCTATTTAAGTTGTCCTAATAAAGGACAGATGCATGTTTATTTATGGCTTTTTGTAAATATAAATGCAGTGATCTGCAGCTTTAAATTTTTGTTTCCACGACAATGTTTGTTATCCTAGCCAGTGGTTATTTACAGAAAAAAATGGAGCATGTAATCATTCTTTATGCACAAGAAGTGCCCCCTACAAAACTTTTGCCACCCAAATTGTCTGTCCTAAGACTATCTGTAAAAGCTGAAATTGAGTGATTAAAGAGCCTAGAATTCTTTTGTGTGAATTCTTCACCCTACTCATGCTGTTCTTCAAATTGCATTGTCTTAGCTTTACATACATCAGACATCCTCAGAAAGACAGTGATGAAGAGATTATGCCCAGTTGCTCTCATTATTGTTTCACTTTGGTTCAGGAAAATAAGCTTAATAAGATAATCTATTACCAGAGTTTTCTCTTTCGGTCTAAATACTGTATGCATTAGGAATTCATGGGTCTTTGGGAAAATATATTCAAAGTACCTGAGTTTACTCGATGTAGTCACTTTCATTTTCTAATAGGATGCCTTTCATCTGGTAAATAAATAACAAGAGGCTTGGAATCTACATAGCTCTTTCCTCAGTTGCTAATTTTCAGGAACACCAAAGCAGTGCACTTCTGCTTCTTCCACAGGAAGGGAAAATATGAATTGTATACACTATCTGAAAATGCTAAGTAAAGTTTGAAGTTGCTTTCTCAAAGAAAATGAGCAGTATTGGCCTGTGAGCCACCATTAATTTCTATTAATACTAGCAACTAATGTAATACTAGCAACTGATAGGGTTAGATTTATACTTGATCCTTTCTGACTTTAACTTTAGGATATTTATAGTAGTTCAACCCAAACCTGCTCATCTACACCTGCTCAGATGTCTGATTTCAAAGAATACTGTCTGGTCCATTTCAATCCGTGCTTCTCAGACATGTTCTCTCAATGCCCTTAAAGAGGAAGGAAAAGGAGCTGGGAAGATGGTTCAGTGGTAAAGCGCTTGCCTTCCATGCATGAGGGACTGGGTTCGATTCCCCAGCACCACATAAGAAAAAAAGCCAGAAGTGGCGCTATAGCTCAAGTGGTAGAGCGCTAGCCTTGAGCTGAAGAGCTGAGGGACAGCGCCCAGGCCCAGAGTTCAGGCCCCACGACCGGACCCCAAAAAAAAAAAGAGGAAGGAAAATAAACCTGGGGGACTTAGGGCGGACACCATGAAGTGCCAAGTCCCATGCAGCTTTGCTTCCCTTTCATCACCTCTGTCTCTGTGTGGTTCTTAAGTGCGCCCAAGTTCCAGCACACAATGACTGACTGGCAATATATAGCCTTCATATGCAATATCTATTCAGTTTATAAGTGACACATATTACCTACTTTCTTCAGCAAGATGCTGGCTAGTAAAATATTCTTATGACAAAGAGAATGGTATCATTGCTTGCAGGGGTGAAACCCAACAGACTCAGTTGTTGGAACTATTTATTAGCAGATACACTGATGTATTAGTTTACATATCAAGAAACAAGAACTAAAGAATAAGTAAGCTGTTGGTTCTCCAGTGGATCACATTGAAAAATAAGCATTTTGAATCTTGCCCATGTAATTGTAACCCCTCTGTACAGTATTTTCACAATAAAAAAAAGTTTGGATATGAAAAAAAAAATAAGCATTTTGAGGAGCAAGGCCCGAACTATGTAAATGAATAAAAGCAGTATTGTTTGTATCATACCTGATCTAGATTGCCAAAATCCATTCAGTTCTTTCAACACTTTGAAATAACTATAACATTTGCATTGCCTTACTAAACAAGTAAAAAATATTTGTAACTTTAAATCCACATCCACAAATTTCACAGATTGGCCTAAGAGGAAGTATTGCCACAGCCCCTCCATCAATTCTTTTTTTTTGGGGGGGTCTGGTCGTGGGCCCCAACTCTGGACCTGGGCGCTGTCCCTCAGCTCTTCAGCTCAAGGCTAGCACTCTACCACTTGAGCCACAGCGCCACTTCGGCTTTTTTCTTTTTGCTTATGTGGTGCTGAGGAATCGAACCCAGCGCCTCATGCAAGCGCTCTACCACTGAGCCACCTTCCCAGCCCCCTCCATCAATTCTTAAGATTCTACTCTGAAACAATATTACAGGCCACAGGCTACAGGAAAGAACAACCAATAAATAAATAAAACAAGTCATCTTTTTAGTTTATCAGTAAAATAATCAAGTGTTTCAAAAAAATGGGGAAAAAACTGAAACAGCACTAAGAGGACTTGTTGGTCTCAAAAGTATGTGTATGACCTCAACAGACAATTATGTCTTGTCAATGCAAATTGCTCCATGCAAACAAAGATGTTTTTGTTTGTGTTGGCTTAAAGGAGCAAGCTTATTGAAATGATAGGAATAAGACCTCCTTCTGAGCTTCCAGTCTTCTTGCTGCTTATAGTATTTTACTGTCTGCTTTCTGGTGATCCACTGCCTTTCCCATGTCCAGGGTAGAATATGGTTTTAGGACTGCATCTCAAACATGCTGCTTAGGAATGAATGTGTAACTGATCCCTCTCCTACTTTATCTTCTTTTTTCCTGTGCTGTAATGAGAAATTTAGTGACTTCAGAAATGTAGCCCATCAGTGCCACAATTAACATTTGTCAAAAGTTAGTGCCTCTAAATTAGTGTATCACAAAATGATATTCAACAATCAATTCTTTAACCAACTTAAAAAGCAAGCTTTCCTAAATTGGAATTTTATATCACACTTTGGAAAACAATCCACACTTTGGCAAACTATCTGTTAGGAATTATTTACTCAAGATTGTCTTAGTTTATAGAACTAACTTTTGTAAGGCACACAGTTTTTCTATAGGTTCTGACAAAATTATTTGAGAAACTTCCAAAACGTAGTATAAGTTTAATCCATTTAACTCACTATTTTGTAACAAGATAATGTGCTAAAGAAATAGGAGCTTGGATTCTTAAGTTCTGTAAATAGTTACCATAATGGTAAGTATTCTAACCTTCCTGTCATCTTAAATTTTAATTAGGAGAAACCAACTGTGAGGATTTGAAGAAATAGCCACATAAATTAGGAGCGATGAATAGTATCAGGGCCAAGGGTGTTAGCTCTACCATTTGGGCCATGCCTCCCACCCCCAGGTTGTAATAAACAGAGACACTTTTGTTTTTAAAGATTTACACGGAGTTCTGGTGCAGAGATTTAGCGGTGGTTCCTAACACATATCATGTGTGTCGGTGGTGGCTGTGTAATATACCTGTTTAGGACAAGCAGGGAATTCAGGGAACAGCGTTGCCAAAACTCTGGGGGTTCTGAATAATGACAAGAGGTGTAAGCATATTTACTATCTTTGCAATCTGGCTACAACGGTTAATGGATCAGGAAAGCTATAGCTCTTTCTGAACAGGCTCCCTGTGGTCACTATGAGAGACTATCACAATGGAATCACAGCTTTGGTTGCATCTTTCTAGAGGCCACCAAGCCAGGGGCAGAGTGTTTCAGAGTTCCCTGCCACACTGTTCCTTCAGTGGGGTGATTTTGCCCTTGGGGGAAGACAGCAGTGTCTGGACATACTTTGGGCTGTCACAAAGCGGGTACAGGGTGGCTGCTACTGGCATCAATGACATCTGGAGGTCAGGAAACTGCTTAGCATCCCACAATGCTTAAGTCAGCAGCCAGTACAAGGAGGATCCAGTCCAAAATGGCAGCAGCAGAGCTCCAACAGCCCTGCTCTAACATGTCCAGCCAGCTGCTGAGTGGGACTTCATGCCTTGCTGTGCGTGCAGTATCAAGCCCGGCATTCAGGAAGCTATGCCTTGTTTAGAAACCATAGAGACCAGTGAACTCTCATCCTGGGTGCTGGGATTTGAACTCAGGGCTTCAAACTTGTTAAGCAAACACTCTACCACCTGTCCTAACCTCGAGCTCCTAATCCTCCAACCTCAGCCTTCTGAGTGCTGGGATGACAGACTTGTGCCACCATGCCTGGCTATTAACAACTTCTGAAACGTATAAATTGAAATTCACTTTTTTTCTTCACTTCATACTGGGAAGGCCAGGATCCACAGGAAGCTGGTGGGAACCTGGCTCCGAAAGAACTGGTCACCATTTCCAGTCTGTAATAAGGTTTGCTGGCAAGTCGAGTGGGCTGAAATGACAGAATGAGGAAGAGCTTAGGAATTCATCACTGCAGCATGCAGGGGGAAGGCGGCGGTGCCCACTGGCAAAGCTGGAGTGTGTGTAACTACCAAGTCTCTCAATTCCAGGCCCTGCTTAGCTTAGCAGTCAGGAGCACGGCACCGGGCCTGCTCCCAGCTCCCAGTTTGTCTCCCAGACAGCAGAAGAGATGCCCCAGCGTCTATCTGCCAACAATCCCATTTCTTTCTTCCCTGGTGTGCTAATCAATAACTGACACTACAGCTCCAGAGCCTCAACTGTGAGGCCCGCAGCTGTGCAGCCACCCGCTTGGCCGGAGGAGGACACCACAATGACTGGAGCCTGCCACCCTCCCCCCCGGTGTGCCTGGACTCAGAGGAAGGAGACATGCAGAATAAACTGATTCTGAGTTCAAATCACTGTACAAACATGGTGTCTGAAGTACAGGTGAATTTCATATTATGAGGTAAAATTCCTAAGAATAAAAATTTAAAAATCTGAATGTCTTCCCAAGTGGCCAGAGGCCTAGGTACTTGTCCAAATGTCGCAAGGCCTTATTTTGATTTAGTCTTCTCGTTGTTTTTCAAGTTACTATAAGACTGTATTAGCCTTTTCATGCCATACCCCCTCCCTCCTGCGCGCCCCTCCCCACCTCAGTAGCCTTTGCCCCCTGTGCCCTGTAGGCAGCTGAAGGCGTTATAGCCCTGCTGACTTTGTCTACCCTATGGTTAAGGCCAGGCAGGGCAGCAGGAGCTAGAGCTGGCACTACTATTTTGCATTTGGCAAAACAGCGCAAAAGCAGGTAGGATTTGGATTTGGGTTATTATTTGTATTTTTTAAGACAGGGTCTTGCTAGGTAACACAACCTCGAATTAAGCTTTCCAAAATGCTGGGATTACAGTTATAAACACCTGTAAAACCCACATCAAAAATGGTGGCATAAGGGGTTTTTGTGTTGGGGGGTGACAGTACTGGGAAATGAACTCAGGCCTCAAGTTACCAGGAAGGCGCTCTACCACTTGAGCCACGCCTCCAGTCCTCCTTTCGCATTCAGTTTTTAGAGGCAGGGTCTTGCGTGGACTCTGATTCTACTTGTGCTTCCCTTTGTCACTGAGGATGGTAAGAGTGTGCCACAATGCCCAGCCACTGAATCAAGTCCCACAAACTTTTGTCCTCCCAAGTAGCTGGCATCACAGACTTGAGCCACTGTGCCCAGGCCTAGTGTTTTTGAGAATAGATCCAACCCCATTCAAGAGTGATCAATTCCCTCTAGTTCTATTGTATCAGAAAGAAAGAAAGAAAGAAAAAAAAAGGATAGGTGGGGGTGGGGACAGGGTAGGGGGAAGGGAAGAAAGAGAATTGAGAGAAGGGATGGAGGATGAGGCAGTAAAAAGACAGGGAGGGAGGCATGGACAGGGAGAAAGGACAAATGAATTTCAAGCTCGCTTATTCCCAGGGAATTATATTGTGACAGGTCAGAGGTATCTCTGAGTGGAAAGGGGAATAACAACTCTGCTCACTGTGAGGGACGGCAAGAGAGGTCTTGGGAACACTTTGGTATCCAGCATTTGGGGACTGCTTTCCTGCTTGGTCTTTGTAAGAACGTGCCTCTGGGTATTCCTGAGAGGTCTTGGGTCCTTGGTTTTCAATGTAGGTCTGCAGCTTTGCAGTCCTCCTTTCTGCAAAAGCTGCAAGGTAGCCAGGTAGTGGATGCTGTTGGCGTTGGGAGGGCACATGGAGGTTTTCTCAGTCAGGAGGGACCATCGCAGGCAGCACCTTTCAGAATCAGCCAGCAGGGGTGTCGGGGCCTCGGGCGGAGATGTCAAAGACGTCCCCTTGGTGACCATGAGGTGCTTGGTCAGCTGGAAGTGTCTCTTGTCACCTGTCCCATCCACTGTTTTCAATCCACAGCCAGTCGTCACACTCTCATCTTTCTCCACTTTCACCACTTTCTCATCTGACTGCCAGTAAATGTTCTTGCTGTTCTTACCCAGAGCTTCCACACTGTTTGGAGGACTAGCTCTCAGGGGAGGCAGGACTAGGAGGGCCTTGGAGGTCAAGGAGTCGGACAGGGAGAACCCTCTCTCCGGGCACATGCCTCTGCTGGGACTCCGGGCCGCCTTGCCACTAGGCACCTCCGGGGTGGCCCATTCGTCCAGGCACCAGATAAACTCCTTGATTTGCAGACTTTTTTTTTCTCTGTGAATGTAGTTGGGAAAGCAGATGTTGTTACTCTCCCTGGGAGCAGTGCTTGAGACCTGGGAGGGCCCTGGGATCTGAGAGGAAGTGTTCCAATTCTTCTCCAGGCCTGGTTCAGCCACAGTCTTTGTCTCCCATTTTCCAGTCTCCAGGGCAGACTTGGATTCCGGGTTCACCTGAGACAGGCTGACACACAGCAAGCAGCTACTGCTGGAGTTTTCCCCTGCTTTTGCCTTTTTCAGTTTCTTCCGTGGCCAGATGCAGGCAGCTGGAGAAGTCTTTCCCCAGCCATGGACCTGCAGATGCAACAGCGCATTACTGCCCTCACACTGCCCAAACTTTTAAAAATGAAAACTTCTGCCAGGCGCCGGTGGCTCATGCCTGTCATCCCAGCTACTCAGGAGGCTGAGATCTGAGGATCACGGTTTCAAGCCAGTCCTGGCAGCAAAGTCCAGGAGACTCATCTCCAATAACCCACCAGAAAGCAGGAAGTGGTACTGTGGCTCAAAGTGGTAGAGTGCTAGCCTTGAGCAAAAAAACTCAGGGACAGAGCCCAGGCCCTGAGTTCAAGCCCCATGGCAGACCAAAATACAAAAAACAAAAAAAAACTTTTAATATTCATTTTAGCCTAATACTGAACAATAAATTGTATTGGTGATCATGTGGAGCTCCTAAACACTAGGGCAAGTACTTGTAAATGACCACTTTGAGAGACTGCCTGTATTGCTTTCCAGATGTACGCTAACCTTAGCAATATTAAAATAAAACAAAGTTGTTCAGTCTTATCACACTCCCAAAGACTTCCTGCACTTCCAGTTTCTGTTTCCCACACTGGAGAGCCAGAAATGAGCAGTTATGTCCTGGGTGCCCAGGAGCCCTGAGTACCCCAGGAACACCTGCACCTACCTAGGTCAGGAGTTCCTGGCCACCTTAGCCAGAAGTCACTGTCAAGACAAAGGTGCTGTAAAAAATACAGTACCTTTTCTAGGCATGGGGTCTCACATCTATTAAAGCCAGCACTTGGGACAGGAGGGAGGATGGAAGTTTAAGGCCAGCTAGAGAAACATAGCAAGATAGTGTCTTAAGCAAGCAAGCAAACAGGAGGGAGGGCAGGAAAGAGACAGACAGGGGGAAGCAGGAAGGAAGTCTTTAATTCCCATTTCACAAATGGGAAGAAATGTTTTTCTCTTTTTCTATTTCTCCCTTCTTTATCCTGTTACACTAAAATAAAACCTGACTAAATGTTATTTTCAAAAATACAGGACAGGGGAGATGGGAAGGTATAGGAAGGGGAAACAAAGGAGGAGGCAACAATGCTTGATAAGAAATGTACTCATTATCTTGCCCAGGTAATTGTAACTCCTCTGTATGGTATTTTCATAATAAAAAAAATACAGGACATGTCTGCCATACATTGAACACTAAATGATCTGAAACTCAAATTTACTGGGCATTCTATATTTTCAGCTACTTAAGCTAGTAACCTTAGAAGTTTTTCCCCCTTGTTTGTTTAGTACCAGGGCTTAAACTTAGGGTCTCTACTCTTGTTCTGCTTTCTTGCTCACAGTTAGTGCCTACTTGAGCCATGCCTCCAGTCTGACATTATGCTGGTTAATTTCCAGTCTGACATTATGCTGGCTAATTGGAGACAGAATTTCACAGACTTTCTTACCAGGTCTGGCTTTGAACCTTGATCCTTAGATGCCAGCCTCCTGAGTAGCCAAGATTTAAGGCATGAGCTATCTTGGTTACCAGCAAGCAACTCTGTATTTAATCTTGAATCTGATTAAGTTCTCTTGTTTTAAATTTAGGGTTCTATTTTTTTTATTTCAAGTGTATTTCAAAATCCCATGGAGTTAGAAACAGGAAAAAAGACTCCTTGGCCCTCTTGGGAGCTTAGCACAGTGGTGAAGAAAGTCCTGGCTCTGAAGTTTGAAGACCTGGATTGGAGCCCTCCTTGCCCACTTTCTGCCTGGTTGGGCTGGGCAATCTCATGGGATTCTATTTCACATTTGGGTGCCTCAATATTCTTAGGCACAAAGAGAGGCCTCAGAGAGCTACTGAGAGGCTGAATGAATGAGTGAAAGATGAGCATTTAGTACTGAGCCAACCACATAGTAAGTGGCCATAAACACATACTAGCAGGAACTGCTGTCGCCAGTAATATTTTACCTCTGTTCTTTGGGTCTTATAGTTAACATTGGATGTACGTTTTTTGTAATATTATTTTGAGGGAAAAGCATGCATCAAATACTGAAGTGAAAAATACCCTAGAAGACACTCACAGCTTCTTCCCACCCAGTGCCAACAACGAACTCATTGATTCTTTCATCTTCTTGGAGAGTAATGTCACTGATATCAAGAAGACAACACACATGGCTCTTTTCTCTTCTTTCATCTGGACAAGTAAAGTTTTCTTCAATTTCTTCTGTGGTTTTAATTTCACTATTTTCTAAATCAGTCTCACTTTCCTGACATAGCTCCATTACCAGGATGACTGCTTAGTTTTTAACATCTTCTTCCTGAAATTTGAAAATGGGCACTGAGCTTAGTTTTTTTTTGTTGTTTGTTTTTGTTTTTGGGTCCAGTCATGGGGCCTGAACTCTGGGCCTGGGCACTGTTCTTCAGCTCTTCAGCTCAAGGCTAGCGCTCTATTACTTGAGCCACAGTGCCACTCCCGGCTTTTTTCTTTTTGCTTATATGGTGCTGAGGAATTGAACCCAGGCCCTCAGGCATGCAAGGCAAGGCTCTACCACTGAGCCACCTTCTCAGCCCCTGAGCTTAGTTTTTAATATTAACCTTTTTTTTTTCTTTTTGGTGCCAGTCCTGGGGCTTAAACTTAGGGCTTTAGGCACTATCTCTGAGCTCTTTTTGCTCAAGGCTAGCACTCTAGCACTACAGCTATAGCTCTACTTCTGGCTTTTTTGGTGATTAATTGAAGAATCCTGGGTTTAAGAGCCTAGGCACTGTCTCTGAGCTCTTTATGCTTAGGGCTAGCACTTTACCACTTGAGCCACAGCTCCACTTCTGGCTTTTCTGGTGATTAATTGGAGATAAGAGTCGCAAGGACTTTCCCACCCAGGCTGGCTTCAAACAGATCCTCAGATCTCAGCCTCCAGAGTAGCTAGTATTACAGACATAAGCCACAGAGCACCTGACTAATAGTAACTATAAAAAAAGCAATTCAGGGGCTGAGAAGGTGGCTCAGTGGTAGAGTGCTTGCCTTGCATGCATGAGGCCCTGGGTTCCATTCCTCAGCACCACATAAGCAAAAAGAAAAAAGCCGGAAGTGGCGCTGTGGCTCAAGTGGTAGAGTGCTAGCCTTGAGATGAAGAGCTGAGGGCGCCCCGGCCCAGAGTTCAGGCCCACGACAGGACCCCCAAAAAAAAATTAAAAAAAGAAAAAAAAAGCAATTCAGTAACTGGTGAAATATCTTTAAAACTCTCAGGAACAGACTGAGAACAAACAGTACAAATTATCCATTGTCAACTACTGAGATAAAAAAAGGGTCAGGCTGATTTGAACTAAAGACTAATGGGTGTAATTAAAGAACAAAGTCAAGCTAGAAGTGGAGCTGTGAGGTAGTGTATTAGGTTGAGCACAAAAAACTCAAAGACAGTGCCCAGGCCCTGAGTTCAAGCCCCAGTACTGGCACCAATTTTTTTTTTTAAGAAAGGAAGAAAAATTGGGCTGGGAAGGTGGCTCAGTGGTAGAGCGCTTGCCTTGCATGCATGAGGCCCTGGGTTCCATTCCTCAGCACCATATAAGCAAAAAGAAAAAAGCTGGAAGTGGTGCTGTGGCTCAAGTGGTAGAGTGCTAGCCTTGAGCTGAAGAGCTGAGGGACAGTGCCCAGGCCCACAGTACAGGCCCCACGACCGGACCCCAAAAAAAATAAAAAGGAAGAAAAATGTAAGCATAGGCAGTTATTTTCTAAACAGGACTCCAATCGCCGAGAAAATATGGACATAAAAGAGCTGATTCCCAGTCCCTGGTCCCAGAGTCTGATTATACTCTGTCTGGGCACAGCCTAGGCATTAGATTATCTTTCTGTTTTGAGACAGGGTCTCACTATCTTGTCGTCCAGGATTACTACAAATGATCTTTCCCTCTCAGTCTCCCAAATAGATGGGATTGCAAGGGTGTACTGCCACACCAGTAACTGTTAGTATTTTTAAAGTACTTGATAAAGTTGGAGAACTGCTACTGTGCTAGAAAGTTCTTCATCAACATTTTCCACCCCTGCTCTTAGTTCTGTTATCCTGAGCGAGGCTCTGCAACAAGAAGTATGCATAGGCTTCAGAAAGTTTAGGAAACCTCCAATCACACAGAAACCAGAATCACAAAGTGCACTATCATGCAGAACGCATATGCTCTTCTCTCTTTCAGGGTATAACCAACTTCACATCCTTCAACTATTTCTCACATGTCATGAGAAAAATCTATATATAGATAGAGGGAAAGGAAGGGTAGAGGTGAAAAGATGCCGCTTTGGTTAAGCTCCTATTCTGCAGTTGAAAAGGGTATTCTGGACCTGAAAAGGGTGCATTCTATTATACACTGGGGAAAAAATAAAACATAGTTCTAGTGGGACGTTTTGTCTTGTGTTTTGTTTTTTCCCGGCTCCTGGGCCTTGAACTCTGGGCCTGGACACTACCTCTTTTTGCTCAAGGCTAGCACTCTACTACTTGAGTTACAGCACCACTTCCGGCTTTCTCTCTGATTAATAGGAGGTAAGAGTCTCACAGACTTTCCTACCAGAGCTGGCTTTCAACCGCAATCCTCAGATCTCAGCCTCATGAGTTGCTAGGATTACAGGCGTGAGCCACTGGCGCCCGGCGGGAAGTTTCTTAGTACAAAGCTAAACTTCACACACACAACCAGTTACATAGACCTCAAGCATCCTCATCCCCGGTGGTGCAGTATCTAAAGAAAAAAGCTGTGGAGATTGCTGTCTCCTTTACAAACAGTTCTGGAATACACTGAAAATGTAGTTAGACTTTTGCCTCAGTTACGCACGTGCACCACCTGATTAGTTAGACTTGCATGTATTTTCAAAAGCATACCTTTTCTCTTTCCTGCTTAGTGTGTAGGCACGTGGCCTGTAATCCCAGCACGTGGGAGGCTCTTGAATTCAAGGCCAACCCAGGATACTGAGCAGATACCAGGTTTCTATCTTCCCGAGTTAGTTATCGGTGCCTCGGGCTTATTATAGGCTCACAGGCCACAGCTACCATGATTAAGTAGGTCTTCCTAGAGAGGTTCATGAAAACATCACTTCCGCTCAGCTCATTTCTGCTCCAATCGGTGTCAACTCTTCCCGCTTTCAACTCACGTGAATTCACTGACTCGCTAAGCGCCTAGAGCTGGGAGCAAATTGGTAGCGCAATGCAAGTCTCAGCTCCCACGCATCTCGCGGCAGAGGAGCAGAGGTCACTCGGGCCCCCAGGAGCGCCGCAAGCACCGCCCAGGTCCCCATACTTGGCTCCTCCCTTTCCCCCAACAGCCCCAAAGCCCCGCCCCCATGCGCAGGCCCCTCCTCTTCCCCACCATGCCCCGCCCCTTACCCCACAGCCCCTCCTCGGCCCCCCCTCCGCATCCTCCCACCTACACACCCGGCTCCGCCCACCCCACCAGCACCTCTTGCCCCGCACGGCCGCCTTGCTCTTCTTTCCGGCGCCCTCCGGTTGCACCACGCCCCGCCCCTTCCTCTCTTGTACCACCCGAGTCCCGCCCCCAACGGCCCGCTCCCGGCCACACCCAGGCCGGCGCGCGTCTCGTGAAGGGCTGCTCGCTCTCCTTCCAGTGCCGGAGCCGCACCACCTCTCTCCTTTGGCTTCTTCGCTTCTGAGGGTCGCTTCCTTTCGAACAGCCTCGAACTTCTCGTTCTCCCGCCTGTGGGGTGATCCAGGAACTCGCTCCGGGGTCGGGGACGCGGCCGCACACACCTCTAGTGTAGCCGCAGCTCGCTGAGGCCGGTCGAGCCGTTGCCCTGGGTTACAGCGACGCTGAGGGCGGGCCTATTTTCGGGCTCAGCGGAAGTGACGTATAAGCTGTCACGCTCAACAAAGCGGAGGGCGGGAGGAGGGGCTTGCGGACAGCGCGAGGCCCAGCGCGGCGGCGCGCTCCCGGCAGCCCGCGCGGCGGCGCGCCTGGCGCTGTGTAGCAGGGCCGCACCGAATGAGCTGTGGCGATGACAGTCGGCCCGGACCCCAGGACCCACGAGGGAACCCCCGCGGGCGAAGAGGCAGCGACCGGGACGGCCACCCCGAACCAAACCTTAACACGTGCGCGTGTGAAACACCACAGTGAAACAGACCCCTTGGTATGACAGAAGACAAAAGTGGGGAGGCCGGGGAGGGGGGCGAACACGTCCGCGTAGCTCACTCGCACCGGAAACCCGCAGGGGCTGTTCGGGGAGGCCAGCGGGGCGAGGCCGACCGGCCGGGATGCTGTCTGCACGCGTGCAGCTGGCGCGGTGAAACCCGCTTCCGCCTCCCGCCGCGACAGAGAACCCGCCCCCGGCTGCGACTGCCGGACAGAGCGCGGCGGGCGGCGGAGGGCCTGCACTCTGCCACCGGCAACCTTGGAGCACCGTCGCCAGTCACCCCTGCCCTGAAAACCACGGTGCTGGGGATTTGTTGCTGTTCTTAAGCACCCAACCCCTTCACCAGCTAGCACTCAACTGGCCTGCAATCTTTTACTAAGGTCAAGAAATGCAACCCATGTCTCCCCCCCCCCCCCCGTTGGTATCCGTACTGCGGCTTGAACTCAGGGCCTGGCGGTGTCCCACAGATTTTTCACTTGAGACATGCATTCTAACATCTGAGCTACAGCTCTGTTTTTAGTTTTTGGTGGATAATTTGGAGATCGTCCCAAGGTTTTCCTGCTGGCTTCAAACCTGGATCCTCAGCTGTCACCTGGAGTGGCTAGACCTACAGGCGTGAAGCCAAACTGCAGTTCTTGAAGAAGAGTTAATCCTTAGACAATGGTTCTGGGTGGCACCTGGTGACCTTCGGGACTTTCTTTTTCCTGGCAAACCTTATCATTCTGTCCCCACCCCAAGCAGGAAGAGTTCCCAGATTTTATCACTTCCAAGAAAAATTTAGATAGCCCCTCCTACGTTTCAAAGCTGAAGGCAGATTTAAGTAGGTAGCCCAAGGTTTTCCAATCTTGTGACTTAACATTAAAAAGTAGGTAAGGAGGGAAGGGAGCTTAGCTGCTTGTTCAGTTTGCTTTTTGGGGTTAATTTCTGAGGTCTAGCCCTTTGTTGAAAATAACAGTCTTCCAGTATCATTTACATACCTTGCTCCACTGTGAACCTAAAGTTGGTATAATGAATGACATACATTTAAAGGGTTAAAAAAAAAAAAAAAAGAGGTGGTGGGGGATAAGTAGTGTTAGTTTATATAGATCTGAACAAGAAAGCAGAAAATAATAGGCTATGGTCTCTCAGAGGCCAAGAGCCTTGTCCTAGGCCAGGCCCACAGTGGAATGCTCCACCTGGGTTTGAGGGCCATTGTCTCCTGGGGGCCAAGGTCCCAATGACCTGTCTACAGACACACACAAACACACACACACACACCGGGTGCTTTGCTTGACTCCCTGGGAATAAGGCAGGACTCAGTCCTTCACATTCCATCTTTAGATACATAAAACGATTGGGCCTAGAGTGGAGAGGCAGTTCCTTCAGGTGGTCAATAGTAAAGCTTTGTTTCAAGGAAGAGAGATTTAATCTCATGTATAAAGAGTAGAAGGCTGAACACTAGTGAAAGCACACTTAGCCTCTTCTTCCTTACCCGCTTTGTGTTAATACTGGAACTTTAACTAGGGGCCAATGTACTCAACTTTCAGGGCTCATAGCCAGTGCTTTACCACTTCAGGACTGGCTACAGGTTCTGGATTTTCTTTTTTTTTTGGGGGGTCCGGTCGTGGGGCCTGAACTCTGGGCCTGGGCACTGTCCCTCAGCTCTTCAGCTCAAGGCTAGCACTCTACCACTTGAGCCACAGCACCACTTCTGGCTTTTTTCTTTTTGCTTATGTGGTGCTGAGGAATCGAACCCAGGGCCTCAAGCATGCAAGGCAAGCCCTCTACCACTGAGCCACCTTCCCAGCCCAGGTTCTGGATTTTCCTGGCTAATTGGAGATAAGTCTCGAGAGTTGGCTTGAACCTAGATTCTCAGATTTCAACCCCTGAGCGATTAGGATTTAGTATCTTCCCCCCTTACTAGGAATCAAACCCAAAACTCTTCATATACTGAGCAAACTTTGGTCACTTTGTATACTCACATACAAAGTGAGTGTTCTACCACAGCTACTTCTTAAGCCTCTGGTTTTTCTTAAGTCAGGGTCTGGTTCCATAGCCCAGGCTAGGCTAACCTGGCAAACTTACTACTGAGAATGCTGGGATTGCAGGAATGGCACACCACCACATATATATATATATATATATATATACTTTTTTAAACTAAAGGTGGGCTGTGATAGGTAGCAGGGGGTAAGGGAACCTAAATTTGAAGAAGAGATCACAAGGTTTCTGAATGAAAACATTGTAATTTTAAAACTTCCCAACTTATTGACCAGCCAGTTATTACCAAAGTAGCTGTAGGTCACAGGAGGTTGGGGCTTGAACTCTGGGTTTGGGCACTATGCCTGCACTTTTCAGCTCTTTCTAGTGGTTTATTTGAGATAAGAGTCTCATGGAGTTTCCTGCCTGGGCTGGCTTTGAACTGTGATCCTCAGATCTCAGCCTCCTGAGTACTTTGATTATAGGCAATAGCCACCAGTGCCCAGCTCCCTGACATTCAAGCCTAAGGTCCAGCCTAAAGTAGAGAACCAAAATCAGCCCTGGAACAACACAGATCTTTAGCTGAACAAAGGACCCCAGGCTATGAACCATGCTCTGCATTCCTACTTTAATTCTTCTCTGGACACAACAGGCTATACTCTTTTCAGCAGCCCTAAAAAAACTATAGAATTGGGGGTGGGGGAAATTGACAAATTCTGGTCTGCGCTAAGCTTGCTTTTCTGAAACAGCCTCATTTTTGAACTAGTTTCTTATACAAATAGCCCTCTAGTGGTGTCATTAAAACCTAGTACTCCTAACTACCTGAAGAGGTGACTGAATAACACTCCCCAAAGCATTCTACTTCTTAAGTTTTAATTAGAAAGTATTCTTCAAAAGCCTCTAAGCTTCTTTGTTAAGATAACCTTTGAAAAAAGAATATGAAGTCACCAGGCATGAAAAAGCTGAGGCAAGAAAATCATGAGTTCAAGGCCAGTTTGGAGTACATAGACCCAGCCCCAAGATTTGAGAAAAAAATTAGGTCAGGGAAATAAAAGTCTCTCAATTTAGTTGATTTGGAGGGTCAAATCAACTTTAAAGAAAATGAAGACCTCTATTGTACTTTACTGTTTTTTTTTAAATTTTGAACCCAGGACTTGGAGACCACTAGGTAAGGGACTCTAGCTCTTGTCACATCTCTAACTCTTTTGATTTTGAGATAAAGTCTCTCCCTGGGACTTACATCCTCCTGCCTCTGCCTCTTGAGTAACTGGAACTACAGGTATACACCACAACAGCCAGCCTCAAAGCCTGTATTTTGAGGGACGCTAGGGTATAGCTCAGACAGACAGTGCTTGCTAAGCATATAGGAGGTACCAAAATAAAGCCACAGTTTTTTAGCACGATACCACGATAACAAATAACAATGAAATAGGCTCTATGTCCAAAGTAGAGCAAAGGTAAATTGCTTACATTTAGTTCTTTGAGTGGTAAAGGGCAAGTTTGGGCCAGAGGTTGTGGCTTATGCCTGTAATCCTAGTTACTCAGAAAGCTGAGATCTGAGGACTGCTATTCAAAACCAGCCCCTTTGTGACACTTACCTCCAAGAAACCACACATACAAAAAAGTTACCAATTATCTCAATTTTCCCGAACAGATTTATAACTAAAAGGAAAATTTTCCAAGCTTTTCATGTTACAGCTTAAATTTTCTTTGTAAAATCAATTTCCTAGGGCTGGAGATATAGCTCAGTGGTAAAGTGTGTTTAGCATTTGTGAGACCCACATAAAAGCCAACAACTTTGCACAAACTTAAAATTAACGAGTCATGAAATGACTTATTAACACAAGAGAAAACTTGAGTCATGAATTGAACTCAATATTAACATAAGAAAACCATGATTAATGAAGAGATTTAATATTTTATTTATTTTCTCACTTAGCTGCAAACCTGTTGCTTCACTGTATAAAAATAGCACCAGCAAATGCAGTGCATTATAAAATGGAGCTAGAATTCTTCATCTGAGGTTGTCCAACAAGTACTTTCTTCCACTCCCAGTTATTTCAAATGGCAAGATCATTAGGTTAATCCAAATCCAGAGGTGGATATAAAATTACAACAGGATGTATGATCACAGTATTATCCTTGATACATTGATACATAATCTCT